GCCGCGGCTGGGAAAGCAGCCTCTGGGGCATGGTCAGACTTCAGCGGTCCTCACCCCAGGGCACCTGCAGGTACACAAATGCCCAGAAGGTGCTTCTCAAGAGCCCTAATGCTGGAAACTTCTGGAGCTGGTGGCCATGCGGCTTGGATGCTCTGAAGAGTCTCCCTGGCCTTTGTCAGTGTGCGTGGGAGCTGCTGAGATGACAAGGAGCCCCTGGGCTGACCTGCTGGCCAGGCCTCAAGTCTGAATGGGCCACTTCCCAGCTGTGTGACCTTGGCCAGCCACGCGGCCTCTCTGTGCACAGTCCCCTGGCCCACAGAGCCCGAGGAGAGCAGAACCTGTCTCCTAGGATCCCTGTGGAGGCTGACTCAGGTGCTGGCCACCAGGCGCTGGTGCTCCCGTGCCAGGGGTGATGGTGGTGGTTCCCGCTCTGACCCCTGGAGCTGTTTCTGGGGGGAAGGGGAGTCCAGGCTCTGTCATGCTCTATCCCCCTCCCCGCACTGGGTTCGCCCACTCACTCCCTCCCTTCTGCTCCCCCACAACTGACCCCCGACATGGAGAGGACAAACAAGCCCACCCTTTCCCGAGCTCTCTCTCCACTCGCACCTTGGAACCAGCCTCTGGGGCCACCTCAAGGCCCTGTGTGCCCCCACCCAGTCCTGGCCCTGGGAGCAAGCTCAGCAAGAAGGCTCTGCTCCGTCTTCTGGGCCCTCAGGGCTGCCGGCCAGAACAAGGGATCCGGGGAGAGGGCGCATGCAGACAGTCCCTGGACACACCAGCCCTGCAGCCTCCGTCCTCCCCACAGCGCCGGGCTCCTCCCCTCTCCTGCCCACCTATGCACCCCCCACCCCCGGTTCAGCTGCCATTGTCCACTTACCCCCTCCACCCTGGGGTGGTCTCAGGACATCCTTTCTCCCAAAACAGGAAGCAGGTGGCCATGTGCATTTCCTGTCCTTGTTCTCTGTGTGAGAACCAAGGATGAGGCATTGACCCAAAAGAGAGGCTCCTGACAATGGAGCTTGCTGAACACTGGCCCTCTGGTGACCGCTGGGTTTGCAGAAGCTGATGGACCCAGGGCCCACCTGGAACCTTCCAGATGGAGAGGATTCGTGGGTTCCCACCCATGCTGGTGAGGGGTCCCATGTGGTTTGGCCTCAGAGGAGGCTCCAGGCAGAGGTGTGTCCTGCCTGAGGGTACACCAGGGAGGGCACCAGGCTCTGGGGCGGGGCTGCTGGGGATGGAGGGATGGCTGGTGCCTGGCCACAGGGTCTCAGAGAACGGGGGTCAAGGAGCAGGAACGGAGAAACAGGGAAAAGCCTCTCCATGGCTCCCCCTCCCCCCATATCCTCGTTCCTCCCCGAAAGAGCTTGAGCTGAGCTGTGGGTGTGGAAGTGTCTATGCGGGAGCTCAGTTCTCGTCCTGCTACAGAGCACAGAGGACAGAGGACACCGGCCGGGGGCCCGATCCCAGAAGCCCTGACCTGGGAGCATCTGTCGACAAACAAGCCTTGAAGGCCACGGCCACAGGAACGCCTTCCGTGCCCCTGCGGCGTGCCGTCCACACGGTCACACAACCCTACAGTCGCCCAGAGAAGCCACGCCGCTGCCGCACAGCCTCTGGGCCCAGGCGGACCTGACAGAGAACTGACGCTGGAGGGGAGCGGGGGCACGACCTAGGGCTCAGGCTCCCCAGGCCTGCTGCCACCCGTGCAAGCCCCAATCGTTCACCTCCCACAGCCTGCCCGTGGGGCGCCTGCGTGGCACTGACTCTTGGTCTCAGCTCGGGTCTTGATCTCAGGTTGTGAGTTCAGGCCCCGGGGTAGGCTTCGTGCTGGGTGTGGAGCCTCGTTAAAAAGAAACATATACAGAGACATATGAGGCCTGTCAGCAGACGAACACGGGGAAGGAGCGTACTTACCACCCGCCTGTCACTAACCGCAGGCTCGAGGGGCCGGCGGTTAGCTTTTCCGGGTAAATGGGTGTGATGCATAATTGAGGACCCGCTCACGGGCAAGGAATCAGTGCTTCTAGGAATGGGAAACCTGACGCCGGACGCTCAGGTCCTCTCTCAGCACCCGGCGTCCGAGGCCTCACTGAGCCCCTGCCAGCGTCCCCACTCCTGTGCTCTGGAGCAGTGGTTCTGGCCCCCGGCCGCCTAGAAGAGTCCTCGAGGGGCACTTTTAAATCCTACCGATGTTAGGTGTCCATTCCCCCTGCCGCCCGCCACAAGATCGCCACCGGGAATCCAAACGTTGGTTCGACTGGCCTGGCTGTGACCTTTGCTTTACCGCGGCAGCCCGGAGCCCCACTCCCTTTGCCCTCGGGGCCTGCCTCCGCCTGATAAATACACAAATAAGGAGATATCAGAGTATGTCCGAGCCTGGAAGTTGCTAGAAAAAAAATTGCAGGGCAGGGCCCAGGAGTCCGAGGTGGGGGAAGAGACCAGCTGTGGTGTAAAAGAGACTGCTCCCCTCCCCAAATGCAGGTGGCACCTGGGACTTGCTTCGAAACCACAGTATGGCCGAAGTGACAGGCAGGACGTCAGGCCTGAGGTTAGGTCAGTATATTGGCGACGTCACTCCCACAGTAAGGCTACACTCTATGAGACTCCATCTGTGCAGACCTGGGACAGAGGCTCTCTTGCTGGCCCTAAAGAAACAAACAGCCGTGCCGGGAACTGCCCACAGAGCGGGCCACACGGCAGGGAATCGCTGGGGCCACTAGGACCCAAGCCCAGCCTCTAGCCAACAGCCAATGAGAAGCAGGCCCTCGCTGCCACAGCCCCCAGGAAATGCGTCCTGCCAGTAAGCAGGGGAGTGTGGAAGAGGATCCTTCCCCAGGTGGGCCTCCAGCTGAGAACGCGCCAGCTGGCACCCAGCTGCAGCCTGGCAGCACCCGCAGAGGACGGCGGCACGTGTCTGGGCACCAGGATACCCATCCCGCAGGAACCCTGCTAACAGACAAGTGCGGCTGTAAGCAGCTAAGTTTGTGGGAAGCAGGAAAGGGGCACATAGGGCGGCCGGGTGGGCTCCACGGAGGAGCTGAGCTCCCAGGGGGCAGCAAGTGGGTGCATGTCCAGGCAGAGCAAGCACCAGTGCCCCGGAACACCCGCTGTGCGTGAGGAGCACCGTCTGGGGCTGGAACGGAGGGAGGGGGGCTCAGGGGCGAGGGACGGGGCAAGGGCGGGGTGAGGGGGACGGCGAAAGGAAGAGTGCGCAGGGGTGAAGGAAGGAGGACAGGGCGAAGGAGGGGATGTAGGGCGAGGGCGCAGAGGGGTAGGGAGAGGAGGATGCCGCGAAGGAGGGGGCGCAGCGGCGAGGGAGTGGAGGACTAGGCGAGGGAGGACGGTGCGAGGAAGACAGGATCGCGGAGCCGGTGCAGAGGTGAGGGGCGGGGCCGGGCGGGGCCGGGGCGGGGTCGGTCCTTGCGGAAATGGAAAAGCGGGGAGAGCCGGGCGGGGCCGCGCGCGGCGTACCACTGAGAGGCCCGGGGCCCCGCCTCCTAGAGCGGCGCCGGAAGGGGCGGGCCCTTCCGGCGGGCTCGGCTGCCAGGCCGCTCAGCTGGGCTGGCGGCGGGGTGCTAGCGCGGGAGGCGGGTGCGGCGGGGCCGGGTGAGGGGGACGTCGGTCCCCGGGCCCCCGACCTGCAGCCAGGGACTCGCCGGTTCCCTCCGGCGTCGCTCGGGCCCGCCCCCCCCGGCCCAGGGCCGAGGCCTCCCCTCCTCCGGCTCCCGTGCGCCGCGGGGAGAAGGGCGAGGAACCGCTCGGAGCGGATCGAGGTGACGCGGCGCCCCGAGGCCGTTGGCGGGGGCGCGCCGTGCTGCCCCCGGGGCCCTCTCCGCGGCCGACACCGCTCGCGACTGCTGCAGGCGGGCCCGGGGGGCTGGCGGGGCGCGAGCGTGTTTCTGGGTCCCGAGCCGAGCCCCGGGCTTCCGACGGGGTTTGCGGGGACCCGGGCCGCGGGGGCTCCCCGAAGCCTTAGGAGGCCTGGCCGGAGGGGAAAGGGCTGCCCCGGCGTTGCCCCGCGCGCCGCCCCCCAGCCCTGGGGCCGGGTGGCTGGAGCGCCGCGGCGGCTGCGAGGTGCGGGCCAGGCCCTCGGGGCGACGCGGTTCGCGGCTGGTGCGGAGCTCGGTGCGCGCTGCCGTCCGGCCCCTGCCGGCTGGAGCTGGGCGGCGGGAACGAGCCCCGAGGATGGTTCCCGAGCGCGGCGTGCGGGCTCCGGCCTCGCAGCTGGCGGTGCAGGCGGGAAGCCGCCGCCTCGGAGCCGGTCCCCCAGGAGCCCGGAGCGCAGAGGAGCCCCGCGCGGGCGCCGCAGTGGGTGGGTCCGGGGTTGAGGGCGCTTTCCCGGTGGCTCCTGGTGTTGCGGTTTCCCGCTGACGCTGGCTCCGCGCTGCTCGCCTCCCCGGCCGAGCGCCGCATCTCCCCGGGCCGTCCTCAGCCAGACGAGCTGTCCTCGCCCTGAGTTCGCGCTCCGCCCGGGTGCTGAGAGCGGCTCTTCCCAGACCCTGCCCCCGGCAGGGCCTTTCAGGCGTCAGAGGCCTGAATCCGGACCTCGCGTGCCCGCACATTCTCTTTCGGAAGGAACCAGACCCTCGGGCTCCTGGTCAGGAGCAGGGATTTGACGGCTGCCTCTGCATGGGGGCGAGGAAAGCCCAAGCCTGCCCTTTTGACTAAGAGAATCCAAAGTATTCATACCTTCGAACTGCTTGGGGTGCCTGGCTGGCGGCGTCGTGGAGCCTGGGACTCTCCCCGCTGCTCAAGCCCCCACGTTGGGCATAGAGATTACTTTAAAAAAAAATTTTTTTTAAAAAGCTATAGTGTCATCATACACACGAGTTGGACAGACGCACAGATGAAAATGTTCAGGTAGATAAATGGGATGGAAAACACGATTCAAAGGAAAATACATGACTGGGTCATTACCACCAAGGACATCACATTTTGGGGTGAGACAGCCTGTCAGGGATATGGTAGCTGTCACAGGCCACGAGATCCCTTTCCAGGAACGCTGTTCACAGGAAATGCTGGAGGGTCAGAACGGGACCTGCCTCTGGAGCTTTTTCTTTTAAAAAGGAAGGCGTTTTCTCAGTCTTGTGGAGATCTCTCACTAGCAGTTAGAGTCTGAAGTTTGTCTGGGCTTGACGCTGGGGTTCCGCTGATTAGCACTGAGGGAAGAGGAGGGTGAGGAATAATACAGAAACAAGAGGGAACTCAACAAAGGAACTAGGGGCTGTGACGCTCCTAAAAACACGGGGGACTGTTGGATCCCGTCTGAGTTTGTGGTGGAATTGGGTGCTGTTAGATGGAGTTAGGGACCGGGAACATCAGGTGTTCACAGTGTACGCAAGATCTAGGTGTTGAAGGAGTGGGCTCTGGTTCAGGGCCCCAGGGAGGACTGGAGCCTGGTCAGCGAGCAGGGAATGGGGGCGGCGCTTCGTGGAGTCAGGGAGGCGTCTCTGAGAAGGACCCATTGAGAGCTCCGAAGTGAGGGGCCAGCCCCATGAACACCTACCCTTGGCCTATTTCTGGAATCAGCCAAGCATGGAGGCAGGAAGGACTGGGTATGTTTGAGGAACCTAAAGAAAGCTAGATGGTGGGAGGGGACTGAGGAGGGGGCCCAGTCGGCAGGTATAGGGCTCGTAAATATGAGGGGAGCCACTGGGGTTTTGGACAGATATGTAGGGGCTTTGCTGGCTGCCGTATGGAGATGGACCATGGGAGGAGGGCTGGGGTGCCCCTGGGGAGCCAGTCCCACACCTGATCCATCTCAGACTCCAGGCTCTAGGTGACAGGAGGATAGCTCCCAAAGGGGCATTTGTGGGTTCCACACTCTAAGAGCACATTGTCTGGTTCCAAATACAGGCAGTGGAGAAGGAGGGAGAAAATGGAGGGGGAAAAAATGCCCACATGGGGACCGCACAGAGTTATTGGTCCCTGGTCCATGTCAGACCCCACTAGACACAGGCCTGGAGACCCCATCCCCTGGGAGAGGGTTAGAGCGAGTGTTGTGTTTGAAAGGGGAACCAACAAGCAGAGAAAGGGCCAAGTTTCTGGGTGCCCCCATCTGTCCCTTAGCCTCTCTGCACTGCAGGGGCCCACAGCTCTGGTCCTCGCGCACACCCGTGTGATCTAACCTCCACGGTCTGGCTTCTCTGGCAGCACAAGGATTGGTGGCGTCCTCCCTCCAGCGCAGACTCCCTGCCCCAGAGCCCAGAGCGCTCATCACAAGCTCAGGAGGATCAAGAGCTGTAACTAAAGCAAGAGCTTTCGGAAGAAGTGGGGCGTCCGGCCCCTGGCCTTTCTCCTCAGCCTATCCTGGCTTCCAGTGGCCCTTCCTCTCCCGGGAACAAAAAAAGATGGAAAAGCCCAGGGGCAAAAAGAAGGCACAGATCCCAAAAGAAGAAGGAGATTTGCTAAAGGACGCTCCCAAAGAAGAGAAAGCCTCTGGGGAGGAAAGGGCCAACCAGAGGACGGCATCGGCGAAGAAGCCCAGAAAGGTCGGCCTGAGCCCTGGAGACGAGGAGCACGTGTTCGACGCCTTCGATGCTTCGTTTCAAGACGACTTTGAGGGGGTTCCTGTGTTCGTGCCTTTTCAGAGAAAGCAGCCCTTCAAGTGCGGCGAGTGTGGCCGCGTCTTCAAGCACAAGACGGACCACCTTCGCCATCAGAGGGTTCACACGGGCGAAAAGCCCTTCAGGTGTGAGGAGTGTGGGAAGACGTTCCGGCACAGCTCCGACGTCACCAAGCACCAGAGAATCCACACCGGAGAGAAGCCCTTTAAATGCAGTGATTGTGGGAAGGCCTTCAACTGCGGCTCCAATCTCCTAAAACATCAGAAGACACACACCGGAGAGAAGCCGTACGAGTGCAAGGAATGTGGGAAAACCTTTGCCTACAGCTCATGTCTCATTCGCCATCGGAAGCGTCACCCCCGGAAGAAGCACTGAGCGAGGGGAAGCTGCGCCGTGTTGGTGCCGATGGGAGCACAGCACGCCTGTGCCTGGGCGTCCCCGTCGCAGTCTGGAAAATCAAGCCAGTGGGGTAAGCAGGTGCTTGAGTGTGCTAAAGACCTGGACCGATACACCACGACAACGTGGGAGGGGCTTGTGGCCCCAGAGACGCTGGGGACACTAGCAGCTGTCTGGGACTCTGGCGATGGCTGCTTGCGAGCGGCCCAGCACCTTCCAGGGCAGCCTCTGCCCTTGGCGTCCACTGTGGCTTCAGCCTTCTCAGCTCCCTTGAAGACTTGACTCTGCAGACTCCCGACCTGCCGGGTCATGCCTGTGCAGCCTGGCGGGGGCCGGTGGCCCTGAGCTGGAGAGCTGTGCTCTGCGGGCATGCCCACAGCGCTGCACCAGACGCCTGCTGGCCCCACTCAGCTGGCCATGGTGACAGTGGTTTGTGCTCTGGCTTCCCTCCTCGGGCTGCAGCAGCACCGTCCCCCACCCAATCCCCGGGAACCGAACCCCTTGTGCGTCCCCCTGGCCCAGGTGAGCGGCCTGACTCACCCAGGTGGGTCCCTCGGGACCTGCGTGCCGCCACCGTGGGAGATTCCTGCCCCGGACACGTGGTAGACGTCCCGAGGATGTGAGGGCAGCTTCGAGCCAGCCCGCGTCTGCCACGGGGCTCTTCGGTTGTGAGGCCGTGCGCCCTGCCCCCCGGAGGGCAGCTCTCCAGGTTAGTTTCACTTCTTCCTGCCTGGCCTCCAAGTTCCATCTTATTCCCTGGGTGAGGCCACAAGCTGTGCCCACCTTGGTTTCCCCCCGGGAGTGGCCTGGAGGGAGCTCCATGTTCTCAGAGTGGTACGGTGTGTCCCAGAGTTTCCAACAGTGTAAGGGGAGCCAGGTGACCGCCAGCCAGCAGGTAATGGGCTTTTCACTAGGAAAATGTTGATGCCACACTTGCAGCTGTTGGGATCCCCAGAATGGCCTTACTCTTTGGGGATTCCATCCTGCAAGGAGGTCCTGAATGAGGGGGGCGCCCGTTTCTTCATCAGGAGGTCACAGACGCTAGAGGGCAGCTGCTCCCGGTGGAGATGCTTCTCCAGGCTGGTAGGTGTTTGCTCCTGTTCATTCTAGAAGCCGCAGTGTTATGATGCCTGAGCTGGCATCCCTCCCCGGCCCCAGCGCAGCCCTCCCGGCTGACTCGGCTTGCCCCGGGCGTGGCAGGAGATCCAGGGAGACACACCATGTATGGTCCTCGATGGGAAAGGTAGCTGCAGAGGATGTCACCGGGACATTTAGCAAACTTCGTGTGCACACTGTCCACTGGGGGGCAGAGCTGCATCAGTTTCCCGGTTCCTGCTTGGATCGCGGCCATCCGCCTGTCCTTGTTGGGAAGGACGCTCTCTAAGGTTTCCCCGGGGGTTTGAGGTCATGATGTCTACGACTTACTCTCAGACGTTCAGCAGAGAGTACAGGACCTGTGTTCGCTCGGAGCGCGACGAGGCAGATGGCGCACGTTGGTGGTTCCTGTGTCTGGAGCGGGTCGGCAGACGCCTTCTGTGAAGGGTCGGATAGTGACCGTTCCTGGCCCTGCAGCCCTAAGGCGTCTGTCCCCGCTCAACTCCACCGTGGCACGTGACCGCAGCCCCCACAGCACGAGCAAACGCGCGTGGCCGAGTTCCGCAGAAGCTGTATGTGCAGAGACTGGCAGCCACCAGGCTGGGTGCTGTCGGGGAAGGACACGCGAGAGTCGCCCGTCCCGTGCACACGTCCTCCCAGACCCACTGCTGGGGGAAGCCGGGGGCAGCAGGCAGAAGGAGACCCTGGGAGGCCGCAGAGGGGCCCCGAGCGGCGAGCCCTGCCGCTCGTCTTGGGGTGCTGGAGCGCAGGGTGTGATGCCCGGCCAGCAGCCACCCCCTCGGCACGCACATCCAGGGCTGTCCACGTCCTCCTCAGCGTGTTGGTTTGCCTCGTCTACGGCCTAAGACACGCCAGGCCGCGTGTGTCTGTAGATCTGTATCCCGGTTGCCACTCACTTCTGTTCGGAGGGTGGCGAGCGTGGTCGGTGCCGCTGCCGGAGGTGGGGGAGGGAGAGTGGCACAGAGAGGCTGACCGTCTCCTAACGGGCACGTGGGCTGTTTCTGGTTTCGGGCATTATAAATAATACTGAGATAAATATGTTTCTGCATTTAGGGCTGACAGGATGGGTGCCCAGACACGGAATGACAGGTGGAGATGGTGGCAGCAGGCACCCTGCTCTGGGCCCTGCAGGGTGGGCGTCCCAGCGGCACAGTCGGCAGGCTGGCCCGGCCTCTCCATCAGCAGCCAGGTGGGTTTTCATCATTGCCGGGTTGTCAGAAGAGAAAGAAAGATGCTCTGACCCCATGGCTCTGATTTCTAGAGAGGGGGTGGGTGGGGAAGAGCACAGGCTCTCGCGACTCTAGCCAGTGCCTTGGCGACGTGGGACCCAGGGCATGTCCCTTAACCTCCTCGTGCTCCCTCAGTTTCCTGTGGCGTGACGTGGGCGTGCGCACGGGGCTTACCCCGACCCAGCGAGTCGCGTGAAGTCACAAGTGCGGGGCCGGCTCCCCCAAGTGTTTTAGGAGTGTCAGCTCGGGGCGCGCCTGGCTGACTCGGTGGGTGGTGAGGTCCAGCCCTGTGTTGGGGGTGGACGTCTTGCCATGTGTTTGTGCTCGTAGGGAGGCAGACATTTGCCCGTGTGCGTGGGAAGCGGGCCGTGCACACCCACAGCCCTCAGCGCCTCTCCCAGGAAGGCTGCCGGTGACTTCAACTGCACTGGCCCAGAAGAGAGCCACAGAAAAATACATTTTAAAAAATAAGACTTGGAAATTTGTTTTTTTCAGTACAGTTTCGTCATGAGAAAAGTCACAAAATCAATCTCAAAGCAGCGAGCAGCCTTTTCTGCCTCCTGTCTCTCTGGAAGTTTTGAGGGGCTTTCTCTTGTTCTAGTGAAACTCCTCTCCTAGGAAAAAGAAAACCTTCTCAACAATCTGACCCAAATTTAAAAAAAAAAAAAAAAAGACAAAATCTATAAAACACGCAGACCTCCCTGACACTGAAGAGAGGACTCGCCCAGCTTCTCTGGGAGCCACAGAAGCTTCATGGGGTCGTGTCACCCCCAAGCACTTCAGTCCCGACAGCAGGCAAGCTAGAAATCAGAAGGCAAGCCTCCGGCTTCGGAAGTTACAAAAACAAGAACGAACAAATGCACTCTCAAGGCAGGGAGGAAATCTCAAGGAGCAGAGAGCGGCATAACCCACGGGCACGGAGGCCGTCGGGCAGGAGACAGTGGACGCTGGCTGTTTGCCAGGACCGTTCAGGCTGGCGTCGGTCAGCAGCAGCGTCCAAGAACAGAGCAGGAGCCGCCGAGCCGTCAGGAATGCAAAGGGGACGTGACAGCAGGGACACCAGAGATTAGGGAAGCCAAAACTCGGGGCCAGGGAACGGGAGCACAGATGAGGTAGGGAGGCTGGCGCGTGAGCAAGCAGCCCAGAGACCCCGTGCCTGCCACACAGGGTATGTCCGGAGTCTCTAGTCTTCCTCGAAAAATGCAAGTCCAGATGGCGTACGGGGGGTCAGGAACCCATTCCGGTCCTCTAGGGACTCAAAGATTGAAAAGAGGAAACCCCTTGCCTTACTTTATGAGCTGGGACAGCCCGGATGTCTGTGCTCCCAGCCGCAGAGGCCGCCAGCACGGCGTGGACAGACCTGGTCCCAAAGGGCAGGATCGCACCTCGGAGCACAGCCAGGTGAGGTCTCTTTCAGGAAAGGCAAAATTAGCTCAAAACGGATGTGATCTCTCCCCTCAACCGATGGGGGAGGGGCCTGTTATCACCTTAATAGTTAAGTCTGTGCCAAAACCCACCATCCGTCCCTGATTCGGATACCTTCATAAATAAGGAGCATCGCAGGGTTGTCTAAACCCGTACGGAACCTCTCCCAGCACCCGGAGCGGTGCTGTGGCCCAGGGTCCCGTGCAGCCCGTGTCCCCTCCGAGGGCAGAACACAAGGGGGCCGCCTTCACGGCTCCCCCTGCACCCGGAGCCAGGCCAGGAGGAAAGGATGCACTAGGATTACAGTAGAAACCCCCGAGTGTGGTCATCAGCAGGTGATCCTACCATCTATGCAGAATCCGCACACTGTCTCCGCGTACTGGACCCGAAGGGCTAAGCAGGCTCTTGGTGAGAAGGTCAGCATCGGGTCTCCCAGAGGCCTGGGTGCGAAGAAGGGGAGCAGGGGCTCCTCCGGCGCTGGGGGGTGCAGTGCTGTAGCAGGCAGTCGCGGTGGCCTCTGGCGGACACAGCTCGGGTGTCCCTCACCAGACAAGCGTGGTAATGCCGCCAGGGAAATAAGCGCAGACCCCGGGGTCGCAGGAGCCGGAGCCTTGGAAGCCCAGGGCAGTGTGCCAGAGGCCGGCGGAGACACAGCTGTGCGGCCTGCACTCAGGGGAGGGGCCAAGGCCGTGCCCTCCCCCCACCGCCCAGCAGGAGACGTTCCCCGGGGACAGGGGAGTTTAACAGGTGCAGGGTTCTGTCGGAATGATGAAAAGGCTTTGAGCGTAGGGCATAAGACCGTGACGCACACAGTTAAGTCAGTAAACACCCTGCGTATTTCCTGCCGCGAGAACAGCCCGTGGAGTCCACGGTCCTGTTAGCAGCTGTCCGTCCACTTTAGCAACAAACAGCATTTCATAGCAAGTTAGAGACGCGCCCTACCGTGCTAGCCCAGAAGTCCCACTCGTTAAAATCCCGTAGGGAACCTCTGTGCATGCGCAGTAACGTCGCTAGTGCATGTGGAATGTCAGAAAAATTGGAAATAACCCCAATGTGTCCCTGCAGTGGAGTGGGGTGGGGCGGGCAGCAGCGAGGGGCTCCTAACCCTCAGGGACCAGGGGCGGGGCTCTGAGCCGCTCCTGCATCATATCATACCCACGACGTCTCCGAGGTTTACGTGGGTTTGAAATGTTAGTTTCTAACTTCCTTAACTTCTGTGAGACCTGATGCTCCTCTCCCCGTCCCCGTTCTGTTGCTGTCCAGGCCTGGGGGGTGTGGGTCAGGCCCTGGCCGCGAGCACCGGCCAGTCTGGCTCCCACAGGGGGTGGAGTTGGGGTGGGGCGCAGCCAGGTAGTAATTGCATTTCTTCGTTCAAAAGGTAATCCGTGTCCCTTTCTGGCTGTGAGAGCAGATCACCCTGGTCAGGAAGCTCCTGATGAGGTGCGCGTAAGAGTGAACCGTCCGGCCAGACAGGCCTGAGCCCCGGGAGGCGGTGAGGAGGGCGCAGGGCAAGCGGAGAGGCCCTAACCCAGACGTCCTCTCCATCTGGGGGCGCGGGGATGGGGCTGGGCTGGAAATCTCCGGGCGGTGGTGGGGGCGCTGGTGGGCTGGGTGACCCCCAGCAGGCGGGCGGGGTGGTGTGACAGGTGAGCGGCACCTCCTGTCGCCTCGCAGAGCCCCCTGAAGGCAGCAAACACCCCGAGGGCCCTTCCCTGTTCCCCAACCTCTCTGACGGCCACAAAACTCACAGCCATGGCCCCGCTGCACCCAGGAGGGCAACATGGACACCACCCGCCTTCTAGGAAAGCGCTGCAGGCAGAAACCCCACAGGCAACGTCAGGAACTTCCCCAGCATCCTGGGACTGTCCCTGAGAAATAAATGCCTTTTCCAAATGGAAAACCTTCAGGGCACCCCCGGCTGGGCATGGTTCTCAAAGCACAGTGCCCTGGAGCACTTAGGGCCGCGCCCACAGAGCACCCCAGCGCCTGGCCCAGCTTGGAGGGTGCGGGAAAGACACCAGGCAGGCGGGGGGCCATGGAGGACACCTTCGGACGACCCAAGGGAGGTGACATGGATCATCCTTCAGGCTGGCATCCTGTGAGCCGGGTCGGCATCTGTCCCTACAGGCCTCCTGCCAGGCTCGATCTGAGGGAAGGTGGCAGCCAGCGCTGTGAGACAGTGGGCAGTAAGGGCCACGCAGCTGGTGGGGCTCTGCTTCCTCCTCCCCCTGCAAATTGGGGAGTTGTCCTGTGACCGGGCCCACTGCATTCCTGAGGAGGCTGTAGGCAACAGGGTGCTTCCTGGCCTTGATTTGCAGTGGCCTCTTGTGTCCACCCCCAGTCTGGACACCAAGTGTACTAATCCTTTCCCCTGCAAGTGAGCGAGGCCCCAAGACACGCCGCAGACAACGCAGGTCCGGACACAGCCCGGACCTCGGCTTCGGGGAGCTGACCCCCAGGTTCCCGAGTCCTGGTGCACGTGGCACTTGGACATTTGCTCTGGAGCAGGACCGGCGAAGGCAGGGTTCTCAGCCATGAAGGAGGGGTACAAGGGGTGTCCCCAAGGCCCAGGGAAGCAGTGTTGGGACCAGAAAGGGAATGGACTGAAGGCCAGTTCAGGGTGGGACCAGCCGCGTGGATGAGGGGGCAGACTCTGTGTCTCGCGCCCAAGGACACAGCTCTGCTCTGGATGGGGGCCCGTGCCTCCTGGGACCTCTGTGCACTGAGCATAGAGTTGGTGGTCTCCTGGTGTCACAAACTCCAGCTGCCTGTTCCACAAACCACAGGGTCCTCCCCTTGACCAGAGTCCTGCCAGGACCCAGACAGGGCCATGGGGGCCTGGGGACACTGCTGCTGGGCTTGCCTGCCTGCAGCCTGAGCGCCCCCCTCCCCGTGCCTCCTGCCCGGTGCCACGTGCATGCCAGCACCGAGATCCGCACGAGCTCCCTGTCACACTACGTGGGCCCCAGGTCCCTGCAGCCACCCTGTGGCCTTCTGGTTTTAACACGGGCGTGTGTCCTGGTGAGCTCGAGCACTCGGCATTGGCGGCAGCGTCCTGGGATCGTCCTCACGCCGCCGGTGGAGCGCATCCACTGGGCTCTCAGCACACAGCTGCTGGTCCCACACGGGTGAAAATGGGACTTTCCCAACAGTGACATCTGATGGACTTCGACTCTGTAATCCCTTCACTTCCTTCAGTCCCCAGAGCGTGAGCACGTGCGCATCTGGGGACACATTCCACTTCAGTTTATCCGAGTTCTGTAGTTTACTCTCCATGGAGCGCTGCCTCCATCCCGACCGACGTTGCACTGGTTCTGGTACCTTCCAGCCACCCTTCTCCCCAGCACATGTCCTGTCCTGCTTGTGGATAATCTGTTTACCCCCGTAATAAACTCTGTTCTGACCCGTTTGCTGGGTCCCGCTCATCTCCCTGCAGTTTAGGGGTGCAGTCGGGACTCCCCAGCGCCTGCAGAGCCAGAGACCCAACTGGTCACTTCCTCCAGGTGCGTCTCCTGGGGGCTGCCTCACATGAACTAGACTCGTAAGAGACTGACAACCAGAGATGGAATCCGCTGGCTCAAGATGGGAGTGAGCCCTCGGGGGACAAAATACTATGTCCCTTCAGGGACATGGGCCTCCTGGCCCCAGATGCTGGGGAACTAGGGGTTTCTTGGTGGCTCATGCTTGTAGTCATAACACTGGAGGGGGTCTGGGAGGCCCTCTGCCTGCTTCCCTGACTTCTGCAGAGCCTGGGTCAGCCTGCCCTGCCATACTGTTGTTCACTTCTCCTGAGGCCATTCCTGCCCCCCAGAAGGGGATGTGGTAATGTCTGGAGACATTTGTGCTTGTCGCAACTGAAGGGAGGTGCTACCGGCATCTGCTGGGTGGGAGCGAGGAAGCCACTCAGCGCCCTGCAGAGCACCGGATGTCCAGTGGCTGAGGACCTGGCTAAGGATGGAACTCCAGGTCAGACCCAGAGTCAGGGACAGGCGGGGAGACACACAGGCAGGGCAGAGAAGAGCAGAGCTGTTGGCTAGGGGAAGGCCAGGCAGCTCTGCACAGAAACCCAAACACTTGGTAGGAGGTCTGTGGAGGCTGAGGAGCCTGGCTACTGGGCAGCTGGGGCTGGGTCCCCTGAAAGTGGGGCAGAGGCAGGCGGGACACCTGACTGGCTGGGAGTCTCCACACCAGTAATTACGCACCCCCATCTCCCCAGCCTCGTAGGAAACAGGAGTGTGTTCCACCCCACTGAAGCTAACCCAGGGCCACGCACAGGCCAGCAAGGAGAGGGTGAGGGACAGACTGAGAAGGGGAACTGGGAGACCCCAGCTACCTTTGTGCATCGTGGGCCGCGTGTCCAAGACAGAACTTGGCTTGTGGCATTGCCCTGTCTCGAAGCAGGCTTTCAGTCAAACTCCAGCCTGAACCCCAAGTCGTCGTACCCCACATCCCAGCAAGCAGCAGGTGCTGTCAGTTTGGTCCCCAACATGGGCCCTACCCAGCCTACTCTCGACCTACACCATCTGTCCCTTCCTGCCTCCCTGCTGTCCCAAACTGCTGTTAAAATGCACAGCCGATCTCACACCACGGCTCAGGACCCTCCATGGCTCCCGGTGCATTTAAAATCCAGGCTCCTAATCGTGCCTTCAAGACTGCTTGTCCACCTTGTTTCATTCTCCCTTGGCCCACCACACTCCCAGCTTGCCTGGTTGCCACAAAACCCTTGGCAATGCTCATGCCTCAGGACCTTGGCACATGCTCTTTCTTCTGCTTTGAATACTCTTCCCTCTAGCCTTTGTGTGACTAGCTTGCCCCGCTCTCCTCCTCCCTTCCTCTGGTGTCACTGCCTTAGTGACTCACTTCCTTGGACCACTAAGCTCTTGGGAGCTTCCTCCAAGTTCTTACCGGGGCTATGGTGCCGATGTGTTTGCCGATGTGCGGTCTGCTCTCTCCCACGAGCTGGAATGGCAGCTCCATTGAATGAGGGAGCTAGCCTGTTCCCAACGTACCCCTGCTCCTGGCCCAGGGCCTAGCATGAGGTCAGGCAGAGGGGAGCAGCGGGCTGTTCTTCCAGAGCCTGCAGGGCTGGGAGTCTAAGGAGCGGGTGAGTTCAGGCAGCTGCGGCAGGAGGCTGCCCTGTCTGCAGGTTTTAACCCTCCAGGGATCAGCGGCTCGGGGCTGCCGCTGCCTGTTTGCCAGCGCTCACCCCGTCTCCCCACACCGAGTCCTTCACTTGTCCCCGATGCCCCAGCTTCTCTGCCGCCTGGCACCCGCCTGGGACCAGATGCCGGGATTCTTCGGTTTGGGCTCCCTCCCTGCGCCCTGGACATCCCCGCAGCCTGCAGCTCCCTGGCTGGTCCTCCCTGGCTGTCCTCGTGCTGTCCACCCGCCCGGCCGGAGGGCCAGCGCCCCCCCGCCGGGTGAGTTCGCGGAGCCGTGCCGGCTGTCCGCTTTCCTGTAAGGCCGGACTCCTGCTCCCCTCTCCCTGGGGCCGGAGAGGCGGGACCGCAGAAGCGACGGGGCGCGCGTGCAGGAGGCGCTCCGCGGCGAGGGGTCAGGAGAGCCTGCGGCCGCCCCTCCGCACGCCCTGGAGCTCGGGAACACTTGGCGGGGCGCGGCCCGGAGGGCGGTTGAGACACCCCGTAAAAGAAGAGAATCTGACGGCGGCCAGCGGGACCCCGCGAGGGCGACCGCGCGGCACTGACGTCGCCCTGGGCGCAGCGGCTCCTCGAGAACTCGAGGCCTGACCGCCGCGCCCGCCCCCGCCACGGAGGCGGCGTCCTCCCGCGCCCAGAGCGTCCCGGAAGTGCGCGCGGGCGGGCCGGGGCGGGGCATGGGTGCACTTCCGGCCGGCGCGCGGGCGGGCCGGGGCGGGGCATGGGCGCACTTCCGGCCGGCGCGCGGGCGGCCGCCTCCGGCTCGGAAGGTGAGTGGGCGCCGGGCGGCGGCGGCGGTGGCGGCTGCGGGGGTGCCCGGCCGGTCCGCGCTCGCGCGTCGTCCCCGCGAGCCCCACCCCGGCCGCACCCCGCGCCGCCGTGACCTCGGCCCGGGCCCGGCCTGGGGGCGCGGGGGCGCGCCCCGCCGCTCCGGGGCGCAGAGGAGGCCTCCGCGGGGTGCGGGCCGCAGCGGGCTCACTTGCCCCCGGCGAGCGCGGGCGTCCGTGTGCGGGGCGCCTCCCCACGCGCCGGGCACCGCGGGGACGGAGCCGGCGCGGTGCCCACTTTGCAGGTGGGACGCAGAGGCTCAGAGAAGTCCGCGGCCGGGGGCGTGAGCGCCGGATCTCGGCCGGGCAGCCTGCGCCCTGCCGCCCAGCGCCCCGAGATCCGGCCCTTCCCCGCGGGGCTCAGGCTCCGGGCCAGGAGAGGGGGCGGGAAGGCCTGCTCTTGGCCGGGGCGTGTCTGCCCCTCCGCCCGCCCCCGCCTGCAGCAGTGTGGGGTGCCGTCTGCGCCCGGAGCCCGTGCCGGCGGCCGGGTGGGCGCCACCCCCGCGCGGACAGCCGGGGCGGGGAGCGTGCCCCTTCCCTGAGAAGTCCCGGGAAGCGGACCGAGTAACTTGAGCTGGACGTAGGAGGTGGAGGGCCTGCGCCCAGACGTCCTGACTGCGGCCCCACCCTGCGTCCACCTGCGTCCACTTCCCTGAGTGTCCGCGACCCTTCCCGTCGTTAGGGAGTGCGGTGTGCCGAGATGGCCCAGGAGCTGGCCAGGAGCCCCGCGGCGGCTGCCTCCCCACGTCCTTGAAGCAGACACTGTTAGCGGCGGTTGGTTAGTGTCTTGTAACCCGTGTCCTCGTCACACCCCAGTAAGGAGCCCCGCTTCCCCGCAGTGCGGAAGGAAACCCTTCTCCCCCGGCACCAAACCATTCTTGCAAACCAAATTAAAGCAGGTACCTTGGACCTCAGAGGAGGCGCAGAGCCCTGTGGGCTGCCCGGGTGGTCTCCAGACCCCGCAGAGCCCCGGAGGCTGCCGGCTGGAGACCACACGGGCAGCCCACAGGGCGCTGCGCCTCCTCTGAGGTCTGCGGGTCCGAGGAGGGCGGTGCTCCTCTCAGGAACTGTCTTGTTGAGATTTAATCTGGAACGTTCATGCTTCAGCGGGCAGAGTGCACCTTCTCACCCTTCTCGGGGGCGGCAGCCCCCAGCAGCGCTGCGGGAGGTTCTGCGGGGAGATCCCACGTGCTTTAAGCTCTGGGCTGGGAGAGCCCCGTGATGTGATGTGGCAGAGTAAACATACCAGGGGCACAGCGGATCTCACCCCAGGCCCCACGTCGCCTCCCTGGCATCCTTGTTCCTGTCCCCACCCCATGAAGGAGCCCCCAGCTCCCTTGCGGCTGACGGGTAGCTGGCATTGCCCCCGCCCTCCACTCGTCCCTCCGAACCCCCTCATCCTGCCATGGTTTTCATTTCCCCAGGTCCCAGGTGTGCATACCTTCAGCAGGCCTTGGGGAAGATGGCGACCCTGGGGGACAGTCAGGAGCCCCCTCGTGTCCCGTCCCCGGTCAATCTTGCGTCACCAGGGACACCTGGAACCTGCCAGCGCGAGGCCCAGCTTCACCTCCACGGTCATGAACACGGTACTCACCCTGCGCTGCACTCCCTCCGCCTCCCTGCACCGTCCACCCGCCCCGCACCACTAGCACTACCTGCTGGAAACAAGGCAGCTCACCAGGTGCTGGGGTTCCTGCATCCTCGCACTTGGGTCAGGCCAGGGGCATCCGTGGCGGAGGCCAGAGACTGAGCCTTGTGAGCGATGGCTCCCTATAGTCCCCTGGGACTGGGTTTGGGGGATTGGGGAAGAGCAGCCTCAGGGGTAGGGTCCTGTGTCCTGCCTTCTCCCTTTATGAGCCTCTGTTCCCACCCCAAGAAAATAGCACCCAGAGTTCTGTGCAGGCTGGTTTGGGTTGGGGGCCCCCCAGGACCTGCAGGGATGGAGCTACCGGCCTGTCCCACCCTCCTGGCAGGGTCTCAGGATGTCAGAGGCGTGGAAGTAGCCAGCGACTGGTGGGGGCCAGGGGCGGAGAGGATGTCCAAGCACATGGCGTGGGGTGCCCTTGGGTCTTGCTCACACTCAGCCATCAGGAAGCCACAGGGGCTCTGCCTGTGCCCCACGTGCCACAGGAGGCCTGGCCTCAGTTCTCACAGCTGAGGACGCCATGAAATGATGACCGCCAGGTCAAGGGCCTGGGTATGTCTCATCCCACTCTTGGCATTACAGGAAGTGACGTGATGACGGCGGAGATGCGCCCGCTCTGTGCCGAGGACTCCATGCGGGCTGTGTTGGAGCCCAGTGACCGCCTTCTCCGGGGCATTAGCAGATGAGGACAGTGAGGCCCACAGGGGTCTCACAGGGCTAGGGAACGTGGGATTCACCCCCCAGCTCAGTCCAGGATCGGACCAGGAGCGGTTCCTAACCTGTGCTGCGCCTGGCTCGGGGATGGCCCCCGGCCTCCCGCCCGTCCCAGTGGTGGCCAGGCTGGTGGTGGGGGCGGAGCTGGGTGCTGCGGGAAGAAGCCCATAGTCTGCAGGTCTGCGCAGGCGCAGCTGCCTCTCCCTGCACGGTGCTTTCAGGCCTGTCCCCCACGCAGGCAGGATTACGGGGCCCACTCTTCCCCTCCAGTTTCTCACGTCACCCCTCACAACAGCCTGGCAAGGTAGGACCTGCTGTACCCGTGTTGCTGACAGGGACATGGAAACCCAGATGTGAGCCAGTGGAGGCCGGTAGGACTCTGAACACATCAGTGGGATTCAAGCCTGGGCCCTCAAGCCCACCTCCCCCGACTGTGCCCAGCAGGCTGGGGCTCAGGGCTCATGTCTCCTAACTGGCAGGACGTAGGACCGGGAAGGGACTGTCCTGGAAGACATGCTGACCAAGCCAGTCTTGCTGGATGCGAAGCCTGGTGCCCGGGATGCAGGTCCTCCCGCCCCAGCAGAGTGGGGCTGCCCCTGATCCAGCAAGAGCCTGGAGGCCGGGCTGCACTCCCTGAGACACAGCCAAGTGCCCTCGGGTGCCCAGGGGTCCTGCCCAGTGAGAAGGGGCGTGGACAGCAGCTTCAGCGCTCCCTGTGCTGTCCGAAATGGGCGGGGGGCGGGGTGTTGCCTGCCAGGAAAACAACCAAGACTGACCCTGAGGAAGAGAGGCATGGGGCCTCCGGCAGGCTGTGAAGGAGGAGGTGTGGCTGGAGGGTGGGGGAGCCCAGGGAGGTCCAAGGGGCCAGAGGGAGGAGAGCGGTCCAACAGAAAGAGCCGGGCCGCACGATCAAGCTGCTATCCGGGGCAGAGACTGCCCCTCGCCATCTCTGGACCTCATTTCCTTGCTGGTGGGTTCCTCAGTGCCATGTGGTCCACCCATTCCCTCAGGAAAGACCCCAGCATCTCAGGAACCTGCCTAGGGCCTTCCAGCCAGTGAGACCAGGACTTCAGGCTCCCTGCTCCCAGACCAGAGTGGGTGGTGCAGGCTGGAAAGAGCACTGGGGGGTGGGGCCTGCCCTGGGAAACCTGGGGTCCCCATGCCCGCACCAGGGCTGGATCCCACAGTCTCCCACATGACCTGACGCAAGAGCCAGTTTCCAAACTCTGGCTGGACACAGTGCTGGAGGGGGGTGGGAAGGGGCAGAGGACATCCTTGAGCAGGGAGCCATTTGTCCTTTGAGTGGGGTGGGCATGAGACCGGTCCAAAGAGCTGGCAGCCACTTGTCCCCGAGCCTCCAGAGCAGGGAGCTGGGCAGGTGGGGTGTGGGACAGGACAGAGATTGGGAGCCAGGGCTCTGTGGGGCTGGCCAAGGGTCCTGGCACGAAGCTATGCCCGCTAGAGCCCGAGCTCCAGAATGAGTTCTGGAAGGCATGGTCTGGAGCCCTGGGGCAGGACGGGCAGCCCGTGGGCAATGGCAGGTGACGGAGAAGGATGTGCCTCCGCCCCGCCCCACCCCCCGCTTACCCGCAGCCCGGAGGTGGGGAGGGACCTTGTGGCCAGGGCAGCGCCCCCTGCCCCCAAGCAGGGGCAGACTTTCCAGATAGGGTTCCCAGCCTTGGCACTGAGACCTGAACTCTGGCTCTTCCCCCACCCCAGCTCTCTCCTCCCTGTGTTCACGTCCAAGTGTGGACTTCTGTGCCATTTTACAAACAAGGAGTGCCCCTTCCAGCCAGAAAAGTTCGCCCCCGCCCTCTTGGCCCCAGAATTCATTGGTGTCCACAAGAGCCCCAGGCCTGGGGCCTCCACAGAGGCGAAGCACTGTGTCCCAGCACCACCACCCCCGCCCCATCGCCCAGAGGTGCCCAGGGCCTTCGGAGGTGGCGGTGAACGACTTGGGGGCTGGGAGAGGGCAACGTGTGAAGGCTGCAGCCTAGAAAGGCCCGTGTTCCCAGGACTGCCCCACACTCCAGAGCAGCCAAGCAGTGCCAGAGGGCCCCTCGCTCTCAGGGAAGGAGTGTCCCACGGCTGCTCCTGTCTCCCCTTGTGGCTCTTGGGGAGCATCAGCCCCGTGGGCCCCCCAGGAGGGCAAGGAGCAGGTGGCATTCTACAGGCAGCTGAGCAAGGCCTGGGCTAGGTTGAAGAGGAGGGGGAGATGAGCCCCCATCCCCCTTTGCCCCCAGACTCCCCTGGCTGCAGCCTGGAGGCGCTCTCCCAGCCACTGCAGGAGGAGGAGCCGTCCAGCCTGGATCTCCAAGATGTAGAGGAGGTCCAGATCGCCAGAGACACCTGCTGGCCAGGTGAGTGAGCAGAAACCCCCTCCGGCCCTGCCTGAGTGCACGACCCATGGCTGCTGCGTGCCGGGCTCTCCGCAGCACCCCTGCATCGGGCACGACCACTGCCAGGACACCAGCTCATTTGTCCCTGCCTCAGTGCTCCTGTCCTGGAGATGACCCCTACCCAGTTCAGTCCCAGTCTGTCACTGACATTTCTCCAGGCTGTGAGTGCAGCGCAGACCCCTTCCCTGAACCCCAGAGCCGTGGCCAGCCAGCATCTGCTGCTCAGTGGCACTCCTCAGCCAGGGAGTCATTTGGGTCCCCTACCCATCGTGTGGTGCCCTGGGCCTCCACTAGTCCCCTAGTTAAGCTCTGGTTCCCATCCCCTTCCCCCTACAGCCTGGCTGGAGCGGCACTAATCCCACCCCTTGCCACACGCACGTCCTCACACCACCCCATGGAAGCCCTGGGAGCCGACCCTCCCCGCCACAGTGTTAGGAGGGGAGCAGCGGGCCAGGGCAGGAGACGGTGGCCACCCAGACTCTACCCTGTTCCCGGCAGTGCCCCGAAGTGGCCCCATCCCTGCCGGGAGCCCAAGCGGCCCCTTTTGGAGCAGGGGGCGTGGTCCAGGTGAATCGGCCGTCACCCCGGGGCCCCAGCAGCTAGAGCTGCAGAGCCGGGTGCGGCGGGGGAGGCCCATGCCCGAGGGGGTGCCATCTGCCCCTCCATGTCTCTTTGCAGACTCGGACGCAGAGCCGGAGCAGGTCCCGTCGTCCCCCCACCCCCACCACCCTGAAGCGGGGGCGGACCAGGCCGGGGGGCCACTGAGGACCTTTTCCCGTAGGCCCCGGTGTGGGGGCCGCTTTGGGCAGGAGTCCAGCTTGGAGCGGCCCGCGGGCCAGCCACCGGGAACCGCGCCCTGCTCCCAGAAGAGGGGCCCATGGCGCGTGACGCTGCTGTCGCAGGGAGCCCCTGGGGCGGTGGGGGAGCCCGAGCGGCCCGGTGAGCTGGAGGGGGGCCGGGGGTCGGGGCCCGGGGTCCGGCAGGGCGGCCCGCGGGGCGGGAAGCCGCACCGCTGCGAGGCCTGCGGCAAGAGCTTCAAGTACCGGTCGCTGCTGCTCAAGCACCAGCGCATCCACACGGGCGAGAAGCCGTACGCGTGCCACGAGTGCGGGAAGCGCTTCCGCGGCTGGTCAGGCTTCATCCAGCACCACCGCATCCACACGGGCGAGAAGCCGTACGAGTGCGGCCAGTGCGGCCGCGCCTTCAGCCACAGCTCGCACTTCACGCAGCACCTGCGGATCCACAACGGCGAGAAGCCCTACGAGTGCGGCGAGTGCGGCCAGGCCTTCAGCCAGAGCTCCAACCTGGTGCGGCACCAGCGGCTGCACACGGGCGAGAAGCCGTACGCCTGCAGCCAGTGCGGCAAGGCCTTCATCTGGAGCTCGGTGCTCATCGAGCACCAGCGCATCCACACCGGCGAGAAGCCCTACGAGTGCGCCGAGTGCGGGAAGCGCTTCCGGGGCCGCTCCCACTTCTTCCGCCACCTGCGGACCCACACGGGCGAGAAGCCCTTCGCCTGCGGCGCCTGCGGCAAGGCCTTCGGCCAGAGCTCCCAGCTCATCCAGCACCAGAGGGTGCACTACCGGGAGTAGCGGGCGGGCGGCCGCGGCAGGAGGGGCCCCGGGGGGAGGTTGCGGAGAGAGGGCTCCCGCGCCCCCCTCTTGCCGAGCCGTGCGGCTATCCCCACACGCCCAGCGGCCCAAATAAATTCTTTTTAACTGATGGAAGTAGGAGTTGCTGCTGCCTGTGTCTGGAGAGGTGTGGCTGGCTTTGGTCTGCGGGGGCCAGTGCCGGGAGGCCTCCTGACTTAACCTGGACCCATAGCCGGGTGTTCCCAGGTGCAGAGAGCCCAAGTGGGGCAGGCGAGGTCAAGTGCTGGCTGCCCAAGGCAAGGGCCCTGCTGTCCCTTACCTTGAGCCGTGTGCAAAGTGGCCCAGGCTTCACAGCTGCCTCCAGCCCCCAGAAAAGGTGCGGTTGGGGGGAGGGAACGGGATGTTTGCCTCCTGGCAGGCATACACCTCTGCAGCTGTGGTCCGGCCTTGGCTTTGGCCTTCCTCAGACCTGGCCTGCAGCTCTGACTTCAGCCTGAGGTACCTGAAAGAGCTCAGCTAGGTGGAGAAGCCTGCATGTTCCCTGCCCCACTTGCTCCCTCCTGAACACTTCAGGGACCCCACCCCACACTGAGGAGCTGCTCAGCCCCTCCCATGGCTGCAACTCCAAGCTGGGCCTCCCCAGTTCCAAGCCCAAGGGCCTCTGGCTGGACTGCTTTACCTCTCTGGGCCACGCTCCCAAGGCGCCATGGCCACCAAGCACTTTGGACTCCTCACCATGTGCCCCCACTCAGGGTAAGAGCAGTGTAGGGGACAGGAGTAGAAGTCAGGGTCAGGCAGTTTCTGGACCCCAGCTTTGAGGCTCCAGACACCTTCTGAGTCATCTTTGCTGGCCTGAAATAGAAGGGAAAGCCGCCTTCTTCCCCCAATACGGCAAGGGTCATGTGGGACCTCGGCATTCCAACAACCCTGCACACACAGCCCCCAGGGCTTCACGGGGAGCGGAGGTGACAGCCTGTGCACTGGAAGGGTCACCCCACCACCTCTGTGTCCAGGCTGCACTCGGATGCTGGCACCGTGACCAGACCTGGTAGGCGACCACCAAGAGCAGAACCTGGAGGTCCTCCACACCGCCCTAGACTGTCCCTAGACGCCAGTGCCCCACGCACCTCTCTACAAGGACTGGGTGGGGCGGGGCCTGCACAGGTCAGATTGGACCTTTTTGTTCTATTCAGCCCTTCAACTGATTGAATGCGGCCCACCCACATAGGAGAGGGAGCCCCTTTCAGCCTGCTAACTGAAATGCTCATCTCCAGAAACAGCTTCACAAACTAGAATGTTTGAGCAAATGTCTAAGCGCCCCATGGCTTGGTCAAGTTGACACATACAATTCACCACCACAAACAAGGATAAGAATTGTCCTTAATGCATAGGGTTCGCCCAATTCCTGCGGCTACAGAGGGCCTCTCGCCGTGACAGTGACAGAGAGGAGCCCCAGACCCGCCTCCTTCTATAGGGGTGAGGAGTCTTCTGAAGCTCAGGCAGCTTGGAAACATCCGGACGTGCAAGACGAAGCTTTGCACGCTGAAAAAAACGGCCGCAGGTTGGAGAGCGGCGGAGAGGGCGGTCCCGCGGGGCCACCGGGCGGGAGGCGCCGCAGAAGGAGCGCATCCCTCCCTCCCGCAGCGCCGCCCGCTCCGTCTGGCGCTCCTAGCGGCGGAGCCTCGCAAGGCGGCACCAGCCGGAGGGGGGGCGTTGGGGGGGCCGGGCGGGGGGGGGGGGGGGGAGGGGGGGGGGACGGGAGGCCAGCGGGGAGCGCGGGTGGAGGTGAGGAACAAAACTTAAAGTCTGGTGCCACTAGCATCTGAGTGTTATTCACAAGAGAAATGCTAAAGGCCGCAGTTTAGTCCGTGCTCAGGTGGCCTCAAGCAACACTTTGCGGGAAATCCTCACCCACGTGCAATCCCCCCGCTGTTCCTGGGCCTCAGACACGCGGCCACAGGGGCAGACCGGCGCCCAGTCGGGGCTGGAACCCGCAGTGCGCTCGAGAGACGAGGTGGATGTGCTGGCCGGGAGGGCACGGGCTGGAGTGTGGCGCGATAGAGCGTTTTGGGGTGGTGGGGTGAAGACCTCAGGACCGTCATGAACGCGCCAGCGGCCAGCGCGAGCTCAGGGTAGGTTCAACATCAGAGATTCACACCGGAAAGGAGCCAGTGAGTGGACCAGACATGGCGAAGCCTTTGGTAGGGGACAGTCGGTCGGGAATCAGAGTTGACGTGCAGAGACACCCTCTGAATGTGGCGGATGTGGAGAAGCGCCCTGGCTGATAGCGGAGTCAGGGAGGGGACCGTGGATGCCGGGCTCGGGGACAGGCAGCAGTCATCTGCACCGGAGGGAACCGCGTCGCTGTCACCATGCGGGATACGACCATCACCCAACACTTCTGGCGTCAGAAATACCAGCGAGAGGACCCGCCGCACCCCTGCAGCGTGCTGCCACTGCGGAGCCTTCAGGCAAAGACCTCGTGCCCCTAACACAGCACCGTCACGAGGGAAGCAGCAGGAGGTGACACTCCACTTCCCTCGTGTTCTGCCGACACCACAGCCGGGGCCCTCGCTGCAAAGGGCTGTGTGCCGCACCCCCATGCTGAGCCCAGCTCGCCTTGGTTGCAGGAAGGCAGAGCTGTCTCCTGCCACTGCTGCAGGCCCCACCAAGATGCCCAAGAGAGGGAGGCTTCTCTACAGTCTGTTCGACAGTGGACACATTTCAGGCGCTCTCCCCAGCCTCGCCCTCCCTGTTGTTCAGGCTGTACCTCCGCCTTGGGATAGCTCCATACACCCCTGTCTTGGCCTTGGAGGTCTCATGCTGCGCTCAGCGAATTCTTCTCAGGCACCGGCCTCCCCCAAGACCCCTTGCCTTGTCTTTTCCTGAATCTTATTTCACGGGATGTGAGCACCCAGTGAGAGGCCACCCGGTTACACTGGCCGGGGAACGTGCTGGAAAACAGCTCGCCAGGCCTGGTGTAAAGCAGGGAATCTGGCTTTGCTCCCAACACCCCCAGGGACAGTGACAGCGCTCCAGCTTGGGACCCTCTGGTCTCATGCGCCCTCAAAGGAGGAGCACCTGTGCGGGCAGGTTGGGCTCAGACCCGGCCTGGCCCCGCCACTGGGACTGCCCGGCACACAGCCCGGCCAGCCGTCCCAGCCGGGGGCTCCGTTCTAAGCACCCGACTCCCTCGGCTGGCCGCAGGGCTCTTGGGCTGGCCGTAGCGGTGCACGCGGTGCACTCGGCCCAGTCCGAGTCCAGGCTGCAGCGATGCCGGCCTCGCCGGGCCTTGCCCGCGGCCCTTCCTGCCCGGATCACTCCAAACCCCGCAGACCCGGGGGTCTCCACTCAGACGCTGACCTCCCGAAGCCCCTCCTACGGCCTTCCGGGCCCTACACGCCAGGTGTCCCCGCTCATCGCCTCCGCGACCGCAGCCCGGAGGCTCCGGCGCCCCGGCAGCCCCGCACCTCGGACAGCTCCCGGCTCGCGCGCCCGCCTCAGGCTCTCCGGCGCCCCCGCGCGGGTCCCCGGGGCAGGTCTCCGAGCTTCCTGGGGCGCCCGGAAGTGCCGGCGGCGCGAGGCGGGACTTCCTGTGGGCGCGGCGCGCGCCTGCGATTCCGCCGCCTAGGGTCGCGGCCTCCTGCGGCCTTGCGTCCTGTGGGACGTAATTGTGGACGCCGTAGTTGTGGCCCGGCTGGAGGGGCCAGGGCGGCTGGAGCTGCGGGAGGGAGCCGAGGAGGGGCGGCGGCGCGGGCGTCCCCGCTCCGGGGCCCCCTGACTGCTGCTTCGCCGCGGCCCCGGCGTGACGCGCGCGTCCCCACGGCCCGGGCTTGCGGGGCGGTGCCGGCGGCCCGGGGCCCTCGTCGCCCTTCCGGGGGATCCCCGCGCCCCCGACGACGGCAGGAAGCCGAGGCTGCGAGGAGACTTACCCAGCCCCGGCGTGAACCCGGCGCGGGGCTCGCGGGAAGCCGGGCGGGGCCCCAGACGGAGAGCCGCGGTCCGCGCCGCACGGGGACCTCCGAGGGGACAGCTGCCCACGTGTGCCCGCGGACTCCCGGCCCTTTCCTGGGTCTCAGGCAGGGGCTGTCCTCTGTCCAGACCCTCCCGCGCCGGCCTGGGAGGCGGGTGCTGTGACCCCGGCCCAGGGCCTCCCGGCCGGCCACCCCGCCTCGGGTGTGCAGCAGCCCTGCAAGGCCGCCGTCCCTCGCTCAGCGCACGGGACCCTCCAGCTGCCCCGGTGAGCACCCCCGGCTCGTAGGGCCGCAGCCAGCCCGCAGAGGGTCGGCGGTGAGCCACACCTGGAACAGACGGAGGGACCTGCAGGCACAAGGGGCAGATCGCTTCCCTGGACCGCGACCCACTCGTCCGCCCAGCAGCACCCTCCGCCGGCCCCGCCTGGGAGAGGGCACACTTCACATCTCTGAAAGGCCTGGACACTGTCCACGGTCCCTACCCTTGAACGGCCCTCAAGCGTCTTTAAAATCCTTGGAAGTGTGTTCGTGGATTCGGGTTTTCCCTTGCGGGCCTCTCCTGAGCCTGTCCATGTCGCCGCGGGGCCACCTCACGGTTTCCTGGCCCCTGAACTTGGAGAGCTTCCCCAAGCTGCATGGCTGCTGTGGGACACGGGAGACGGAATTTTCCCGAGATGGAGTGGTTAACATTTTTAATTTCTTTATCAGCCTGTAATTTAACATACTTAAAACTCCCCCACCTTCAGTGTCCTGTCCCTGTGGGGGCCTGGCCTCAGATCGCCGGCCTCACCTGAGCACGCAGCGCCGCTCGCGCGCACCCTCAGACGGGCCCCCTGGGCAGCGACCCGCAGCTCCGGGTCAGCCTCCTGCCGGCAGACCATCCAGCCAGACCTGTCAGAGGTGGGGCTTCCCAGGCTGTGCCGCAGGGCTCCCCTCGCGGCTCGCCATTCTTCATGATCTTGATCTCCATGCTTTTGCCGGTTTGAGGGAAAGAAGTCAGTAAAAATCAGTTATCTTTGCCGGAAGTTCTAGTTTATTTTTCGGAAAGGTAAGCAG